TTGATAAAACATTGATAAACAGCACGCCACTGCCAGATGGGACGGCAAGAAACTCTGAAAATAGCGCACCTGGAGATGCTATCCAGAACGGAGAAGGTGATTTTGACCACTCGAGGCCAGAAGAACGAGCAGGCATCGTCCACCGCAGATATTATCCAGCAGAAATGAGCAACGAGCGATGCGCCATGTACAACGCTAACGAGATTCCACGGCCAATTGCAATCTTGGAGAAAACTTTGAAAGATACGAAGCAGAAGAGGGATACGATACAAAGCGGAAACGAAGGTGGACACGGCGATGCAGTTATGCATTGGTTCAAGCGCGACTTGCGCGTACGAGACAACACAGGCCTCTCGAAAGCTGCAGCGCTCGCAAAGAGTAAAGGAATTGGCCTGGTTGCTGTCTGGATAATGAGTCCACAAGACTGGGAAGCACATCTTGTCAGCCCACCCAAATGTGATTTTGAGCTTCGTTCGGTGCAGCTGCTCAAGCAGGAATTAGATGAGCTTGACATACCCCTGTATATTGAGACGGCGCACGAGAGGAAGAACATAAAAAAGCGATTGGTCGAATTGGCACTTGAGTGGAACGTAAAGAATGTCTTCTGCAACCTTGAATACGAGCCCGACGAGCTGCGCCGAGAAGAGCGGCTGGTACGTATGATGTTGGCGAAAGGTATCAACATGGATCCACAACACGATGACTGCGTCGTACCACCCGGAAGCCTTAAGACGGGTACCGGTAAACAATACGCAGTATACACACCCTGGTACCGCGCCTGGGTTGCATACCTCCATGCACATCCTCATCTTCTCAACGAACGCTCCATGCCAGAGAAGAATCCTGCCGGTTTCCGCGAAAATTTTATCAAGCTGTTCGATTCCAGAGTCCCTGATTTACCAGAATGCAAGTCTCTTACAGCCGAAGAGAAGGAGCGGTTCCACCATCTATGGCCTGCTGGCGAGTCAGCTGCTATCGACCGATTGGAACGTTTCCTTATCGAGAAAGTCACCAAGTACAAGGACACGCGTAACTTCCCTGCTTTGAACAGTACTGGCCGAATCAGTGTACATCATGCAGCTGGAACACTAGCCGCTCGAACGAGTGTGCGTATGGCGAGGGACATTAACAGCGTGAAAAAGCTCGATGGGGGCAAGGAGGGCATAAAAGGCTGGATTGGAGAAGTAGCTTGGCGTGACTTTTACAGACATGTTCTAGTTCACTGGCCCTATGTGTGGTATGAGTTTCTACTTCCTCTTCATCACTCAATAACTAACTTTTGCGCAGCATGAACAAACCCTTCAAGTACGAGTACACAAACATCGAATGGGAATACAATGATGCCCACTTTGAGGCCTGGACACAAGGTCGTACAGGTTATCCTATCGTTGATGCCGCAATGCGCTGTCTCAAACACACGGGCTACATGCACAACCGACTTCGTATGATAACAGCATCCTTCCTAGCCAAACATCTCTTGTTAGACTGGCGTCTTGGTGAACAATACTTCATCACGCACCTCATTGACGGTGACTTCGCCTCAAACAATGGCGGCTGGGGCTTCAGTGCTTCAACAGGTGTGGATCCTCAACCCTACTTCCGCATCTTCAATCCTTGGACACAGTCTGAGAAGTTTGACGAGCAAGGTGAATTCATTAGGCTATGGGTGAAGGAGCTAGAAGGTGTGCAAGGAGCCGCAATACACAATCCCTACCAGGCAAAAGGGGAGGCGGCCAAGATTGCAAAGAAAAATAGGTATCCCGAACCAATTGTGGAGCACAAATTTGCGCGAGAGAGGTGTCTGGCGAGGTACAAGGCTGGTATTGGGAGGGAGACTGCGTAAGGGAGGGTTCCCTTCTTAAATATCGGTCTGTGTATATTTTTCAAACAAGAGGCTTTTTCCATCACTGGCGCATGCTATTTTCATGTGACATCTGCATATTTGTAGAGTAAACATGTGGTGAATGTGAATTGCTCTGCTATGCTTAGAGAGGCTGCTATATTTAACTAGTCATGCCAAGGGTCTAGCACGCTAACTGTATTTGAGTTTAGCCTGAAGCCTCCCTCCATTGCAAGAACTCGACGTCACATTTCACAGTATTAGTATACCGCGCTTGTTCTCTGCAAAGTTCCCAGGCAAATGCAAGGATCTCAGTACAATGTAAGATTTTTCCGAACTACCTGCATTAGCTCAGTGTCCTTGTACTGCTGTTTGTGTTCGATCTTGTATCATCTGATCTAAGCTTTATTTAGGCTTCAGCATCTGGAGATTTCCGCTCATCGAACCGTAACGATAGTCGCCGAGAGTAGTACTTGAAGAGAGTGCTTTCATAGCTATTGGAAGAATCGCTGTATCTTTCTCAAAACTTCGCAATGACCCAAACGGGGAAATGCGACACGTGTCGCCAGCGGAAAGTCAAGGTACAAAACTCTCTTATATACCTCTATCCGGAAGATTCCGGACATAGAAAACGATGAAATTGATTACACATAGACATTTACTAATACACATGTAGTGCGATGAAGAGAAGCCTAAATGCGGTGCATGCAAGAAGAAAGATCGTCCCTGCGCCTACTCATATGGAAGACCATCAGCTTTCATTGTACAAGACCCGAACCAGTTAACAAAACACGGCAAATCAAGGGTTCCGTCTGTGGTTCATAGTTTCAGCTCTTCTGAGGATGACGCGATCTCATCTTCTTCAGCTTCTTCAGAATTGCGCATCACCACCGAAAGAAGAGTGGGTGATGGGCAAGGCTTCTTTCAGACCTTAGCACCAACCTCCAAGTCCAAGCCCAGACTGTCGAAAAAGAACGCCAACATGCAGCAACGTGTACTGGAAGCATACCTCCAGCATCTAGAAAAAGAGTCTACTATAGTCCCGTATCAACCATCGTCTCCGGAAACCGCACTGATCAGCCGCTACATCGATATGCTTGGGCCAGATATCTCTAGAAAACAGCCGCTTGCCATTCTGGGGACTTGGATCCAGACCGTACCGTTACGTATTGGTCATAATCGGATGCTCGACCTTGCTGTAGAGTTTTTATTGAATAGCTATGCGGCGTACCGAGATGGAATGCACTCGAAACGAAGGCTCGCCAAAGCCACAAAAGCCAAAGCTTTGAGGGAATTGCAGCTTGTTGTTCTGAATGCTCGTACTGAGCCTACGTATGATCTTTTACTAGCGACCAAGATGCATTATGCGGCTGAGGTAAGGGACTACGACTGTTATATCTAAATGCAATCTACTCACATCCACTAGGCCCTTATGGGAATTGATACCATGTACCACGCCATTCACGCCTTTGGGCTGGCTGAACTGATGAAGGGGGGTAAGGCTTCAGAAGTCGATGACGAGCACTACTGGAATCTGATTGATAACACGTATGTTGACGATGTGAGTTTCTTCTTCTTCCACCTAAGCATCGGCCTTTTGACATGTAAAAGGTCAATGAAGCTATGTTGGCAGGTCGGCAATCGGTCTACTATAATGATTTCTACTTGTCGGCTACATATCCACTGCCCACGAACTCATCGATATCGCTTTCGCCAGCACAACGTGCATCAATGGCGATCATGCATGTTTTCATCCAATGCCCTCAAATAGTATGCTTGATCAGACAGGCAATCCTCAACCCCAAAGATACAAGCGCAATTGCGGCTGCAGTCTCGCATATTGAGTCGCTAATGCAAGTCGATCTCCCACAACATGTATCTGAGCTGATGCAAACGGCCATCACCGTCGTACCAATTCCCGCGTCTCCGGAGTTCGCCGATCTTATGCCAGACACTCTAGAGTTCGATACCGTGCAGAACATGATTCTTTGCACAAGATACTGGATGTTGCAGAGCCTATTGTGTGGTCTTGCTGATACCCTATACCGACGTTTCCCTGCAGAAGCGGCTCTCTCATTGCTGCCCTCCCCAGAAAGACTCCGAGTCATCGACATTGACAGCGCACTTCATCTCGCTAAATCCCTTCGATGGGCCAATTCCGTCTCCCAAGACTTACCTTTCGTACAACTGCGCATGCATACGCCAATTCAGATGTCCATCGGGCCATGGCAACGAACCATCCGTAATCTCTCAGCCCAGCGCTCCAATTCTCCAAGCATACAACCCGACATCGATGCCGAGATATCCCGGGCTGAGCGCATGAAGACCTGGGCCATTGACCAATGTAACAAGATCCACTTGCAATGGGGCGTCTCCGCCCTTGAAGACAAACCCCTTCTCGAAACCCTCGAAGCCATGTTAGGCGAAGCTATACCAGATTGGCTACCCGTCCGCGTGCGTTTTGAAGCCGAAGACGGCGAAATGGTCATGAAGCTAGACTACGAGAACAAAACGGGTAGCTACTCTGAACGCTACGATATCAATGAGCCGCCTAAACAACGCTCGCCGCATCCAATTTTATCAGGTCAGGAGTGGCAGCGAGAGGCTCTGCATGTTCAGGAGCTCCCACTTCGAGGCGCAGCTGTGCAAGGGGATAGAGGCGCGACTGAGCAGGTACAGCAAGGTATCCAGTCACAGAATGAGTATCTGAAGTCGTACCCTCGACCTGCGGATTTCATCCACGGCACTGGAAGGAATCTCTGCTCGACGTCTGGATGGTGGCCTGAGACGCCTAGAACGTCTACTGTCCTTTTCGACCCCACACATGAAGCCTCCACATTCCCACGCATGTCCCCTGGATCTAGCGAAGAGACTACGGATGCAGATATGAGGATTGATCGTAATCCAAGTTTGGCGTCAACCTGGTGGCCGCAGTCCCCAGATGGGTCTACAAGTTTGTCGGACTCTGCTTGGAGGAGCTTTTCCACGCCGCCGGTGGATGGGAGGAGCGTGACGGTCACGTTTAATAATAAAAAGAAGAATGCGTGTTTTTCACCTGCGTGGACCAATGAGGGTTAGCGGATGTGGTACAGGTAGTTGCGACCACTTTGTGTATTCTAACTTTGAGTTCATGAAAATGTCATTATCATAATCATCTTGTCTAGTAGAGTCCCTTTCGCGCTCCGCTCTTTCCCCGTCCTTCACCCCATACGCAGCATATGCTTAGACTTTCACACCAACTTTGGACCATCTGCGCCTCCAGCTCCTTTGTTACAGCCAGTACTTCTTCTTCGCCACCTTTTTCAGCTACCGGAATGGGTTCGCCATTGACTTTTCGCTGCTGGTTCCATGCCTTGACTTGCTTTTGTGTGGCCTTCTTAAACACACGGATGCTGGTACGTTCGTTGAGATAGCTCGTAAAATCCTCGAGGACAATGGGGTCGTACATGAGAATCTTCTCATGCCACGTGGGTTTCATAGGATCTTTGGTAGGCGGTAGGGAGCGGATATGCGCTGTGATTTGTGCAAAGACATCGGGTTTGATATGGACCCACTCTAGCAGCTTGGTCGATATGCAGTGTACCGGTGTTAGGCTTGCGTCAGATAATGGGCCCTGTTTAGCTTTGATACCGGCACCCGCGGTGGTTTTGCTGGGCGATGTGGTAGGTGAGAGAGATATCAGTGGTAAAGGCTCTGCATCGATGTGTTTGTAGACCCGCGGTGGAGTGGGAGACAATGCTTCAAGGGCTTCGTCTTCCGAATCAAGAATCTCATCGATATCAATGAACCGACTTGGTTCACTGGGCGGAGTGGATGGCACTGCGTTCTTCTCCTTCGACTTCGCCCTACGTTTTGAAGACAATGGCTTCAATAGCGGAGTCGAAGACGTAGAGACTTTAGAAACAGTAGACTGCGACTTTGACGGTCTACCACGTTTCTTGGGCGATCCATCACCTGTTCTCGACGTAGATGCAGGCGGCCTCGACTTCGTCGCGGGACTATACTGCAGCTGCGCCGAAGGTGGTAAGTCAAACTCGTCAATATCAACAAAAGTATGTCGAGATTCTGCGTTCTGGTTCGAGGGTGGTGGTTCTGATTCGAATGTATCGATATCTTTGAAATCCAATTCGTTTGTATTAAAGTCCTCTGTTCTCGAATCCTGCAGTCGAGATGGATTCGAGAGGTGGGGAGGAGGTGTTGGCATATCAGACGAGATGGTAATAGGTGGAGGAGGGTTATGGGGTATGTCATCGATATCAATGAATGACGATGGGCCGACAGGGTCGTTCCGGGTACCATCGGACTTGTTGTGAGTGACATCCATTAGCAGTGGGATTTCTTGCGTTCGGTCAGGCTCGGGAATATACACATCTTGCATGTGCTCTAACATGCCACCGTCATCATCCCGCGCGCTTGCAGCCCATAAGGCTTTCTGGCCCTTGCCCTTGGTGAGTCTGGACCATGCCGAAGGCGCGACAAAGGAACAATTATCGGCCCTTTCTGCATCTTGTTCTGACTCCTTGATCGCGAACTGGATTTGGCGGATCATTGTTGGGGATTCTTCCAATGCCAGTTGACTTGATGTCCCAAAAAGCACATCCTGTTGATCAAGTCGTAACATTGCCGCAGCAGGACTGAGCAGCTTCTCGGCGACAAGCTTGGGCTTAGCAGCAGATTTGGCCGATACTCTTTTAGGTTTCGATTTCGCCTTTGGTTCGCCTTTCTCAGCTGGCGCTTTTGGGCTATTACGCTTACGTGGTAATTTCTTCTGGGGTGAATTGGTACCCGATGTAGCCATATCATTCAATGGCACCGCGGTCGTTGATGTTCGAGGCTCAAAGAAATTTTCCAATGCATTGTTCGGGTCAGACTCTTCATCTATCTGACCGTACTGTCCTGTCACAAGGTCTGTGATGGTGCGCGGCTTTTTCTTGGGAGCTTTGCCTTTCTCAGGTGACGAATCGCGGGAGTTAGTCTGGTTGCCGGGTATCTCTACTAACTGAAGACAAACATCAGCAAAGTGACTTCATTGGGTAACCGGCGACAGCACCTACCTCGATACGTCTTCTTTTCGTAGTGGCCATCACCTCTTCAACCAAACAGCCCGCTTTTGTAGTTGTTTGAGCCGAGGGTGATTGTGCGTAGGCAAAGTTAGAGAGCAGGTTTGTAAATTTGTCCTCGGCATTCTGTGCTAGCGATATATTCTCCTTTCCTGTTGAGTCTGCATTTGGTGATGTTGTGGTCGTGTCGCGAGGAGGCGTCCAATCTTGTCTTCGTACTAGAGCTTGTTCCAGCTCTAGTGGCTCTGCAACAGAAGTTGGTGGTCGCTGTTTGAGTGAAGTGACCTTCTTAGGCCGTGGACTATCTGGCACATCCCATATAGATGTAGGATGACCACCTGATCTGTCTTTTGTCTCTACTGACTTCTGAGCTGATATTGATATCGAGCCGTCATCTTTGTCCACCTCCGTTTGGAAATGCGCAGAGACGACGGATACATCATCGGGTTGTTCGTTGCCACTCTTCACGGCCGTCTTCTTAGGTTTTGTGACTCTCATTCTCTTTGGTTTCGCAACAGGCTCCACGGCCTCTTCTTCAGCCTTTTGTTTCTTAGCACGCGGCTTGCGTGGCTTCCCCGACTTGGTGAGCTTCGGCGCATCCGTAGTCTCACTTGGGGCTCTAGTGGCGGACTCGGAAGGTTCGTCGTTAAAGAAAGGCGACTTTGCAAGTCGCTGTGGACGTCGTAGCTCATCGTCTGAGTCGAGAATCTCCTTTTCTGACTTGGGGTTCTGCTTGCGCGCTCGAGACTTAGGTTTGGGCTTCTCAGATTCATTTGTAGCAGCAATGGACTTCTTCTTAGACCGCTTTCGAGGCTTTTCGGTGTTCTCTACAACATCTACTGTATCCTTCTGCAATCGCGCTTGTTGTATCGCCGTAAAGTCATCGTCTAGCCGGCTTGTAAAGTGTTCGGATCGTACCAAGTTGCCAACGGTGGCAAATCCCCTGAGTGCACCCTCAGGGATAGGGACAGCCTTAGGGTTGGTGGTCGACGCGCCGGTTGTTGATCTCAGTGGACTTGCAGGACGAGAGAGTACCAGGGGTGAGGATGCGGGTACTGCGACGCGACGGGAGGGGGCATTGCGCTGCGGGGAAATCGCCGGCGGACTCGAGCTCAGTATCACGACATCATAGGTACTGCCTACCATGCTGAGGCGTGGAAACAGCCTCTGAGTAGCCAATTTTTAAGAGCGAGGAGGCACAAGCCATGTGCTTCAATTGTGTAGTGTAGGCAGTGAGTAGAAGGTGGCGTTGTGAACCAGAACAATGCACGGTCGTTGGCGTCAATCGAAGTTCATTGCTGCAACACCAAAGTGACTATCACCACTTTCCAAAACCTTGCCCTACCAACAAGGCGTAGTCGTCAAAATTTCGCAAGTCATCCGCGTGTCTCTTCATAGCTTCGTAAAGACCTCTTTATTCCCTTCATTGATTTCATCTCTTCTCTTGGGTCATCTTCAGCTTGGTGATGGTCTCAATGGCAGCCCTTCAAGACCGCAGCTGCAGGCCTCTGTTCCGGTGCTCATACTACAGTCAAACTTAGTCGCCAACAAGTTGAGAAGAGACCAATGCATCTCTTCTATTCATCGGGACTCGAGTCTTCTGATCGCCCTGATGTTGCGGTCGAGATCTAAGCTTGCAGAAGCCCTCCCACGGCGGCTCCGATCGTTGGGCCTAGGCTGTTGCGTCCTCTCTCAGCGCTCATGTCATACATGGAAGCAAACCCCAGTGTTCCTTCGTAAGTCATTCCCAGCATCAATGCTGAACCTGCGTGGCTGGTAGCTCCTGCCTGAGCATGCTTCCTTTGCCCAAAACCCTTCTGAGGTAACCCCACCAATGCTCAAGCTCCAGCAAACTTCCTGCTACACACGCATAAAAGCTGACCAACGAAACACAATAGGTTTCTCGTATGCCTTATTAATCATAACTGTAGTGCGTCACTCTCCAGTCTCACAATCACTGCCGCCAATGCTTCGGACCGGACAATCAAAGCACACAGGAAATCTTTCTTCCAGTGTTTCGACGGACTCAATCAGGTGAATCCTACGTCCTCTAGGGTCAGCATGGGTAAATGAATCGCTGTTTTCCTCTCCATCACACCCACGAGCGCTCCGATACCAGCAGTAACAGCCGACAAAACCATAACGGATGGACAAGCAACTCTGGTAATGCCGCGATGCACTCAAACCCAACCTCCAACTTGGAATTTGTCCATTACCTCGACCGGATGAATTCCACTATGCTGATGGGAAGTGTAAAAATTAATGGCGATGTCGCGTTCCTTGATGGCATGGTATTCCATGGCTCTGTCCATACTTCGGAAGTGACTCTCTTTATCGTCGAGGGTTCTTCGGAAGGATACTGCTGTTTCAATTTCAGCGGATCCCAATGGCATCCAGCAAAAATCGCCGACCCGATCATTGGTTTGAGAAAATTGATCCAATTGCCGAGAATGATTCGATCAGGCGTAATCGCTGCCCTGTGAGGAAATTCGCCTTTGGGATATCAGTAACGAGTTCGCGTCAAAGCCATCCAACATCATTTCGTACAAGTGATATCCGGTGCTTTCCGAGCATCGAATCACAGCGGTTATAGTGATGTGCTGAATCGTCTAATCCGAAAGCGTCCGTTGCCGTACCTAGGTCCAAAAGTCAGATGTCAATATCGAGCACCTGGAACATGCCCCAGATCAGCAGACCAGTACAGCTAGCCGTGACAACACAAAATTTCTTATCGTGTGAAAGAATTCAATCTGCTTTAGCGGCGTAATGCTAGTACTCAACATGCTGCTCTTATTCGCTTCTATAGGCGACACTTGCTCAGCATATTCCTTCCGCTAAAGGTATCCGCATGGACCAACTCGCTGCTTGTGTCACGCCCGCGGTTCTGGATTTACGCCGATCCATCTCTTTTGTATAGGATTCTCAAACATAACTCAGCTCCAAATTTATCATCGGCTTGCGAATACTTCCGCAACTATACTGGCAGCTTCATCTCGGGAGCTGGGGGTGCTGGCGATATCTGGTCTCTGCAAAAGTGGTGGAACTTCTGCGTCAACAAGGCGGCCAAACCATATTTCCCGCCATAGCCTAGACATACTGTGTCTTACAGAAGTGTGGATCACAGCAGTGGTCTCATTGACGAAGTCACTGTGACAGTCCTTACATCGTTTATACCGCCAACGCGTAGGCCCGGCTTAGCGTCCACTTTGGTCGCTGCATGAGTTGCTTTGTCAACACGGATAACATTTGCCATAAAGTTCGAAATGACCCAGATGCAACTTTTGGGATTGGCCTGGTTTTATGCCGAGCCGATGGCCCAATATTGGATATGCATTGTTGTCGGCGGTTGACTGAATCTCGTGCGGCAGTGCTTGCAGTGATGGGGGAGCTGCAGGAAAATATCGCTATGTCCTGTGTCCTGTGTCATATGTCAACATCATGATCAGGCAAAATGCGCATAATACTCACAAGGGTGTTTGCGGAAACTCAGCAGCCGCCTAGATTGATGTCTTGCATATGGGCATCTCCGCTCAGATACGAAGGTTGTTTTGCTTCCGCCATCTGTTCCAGGCTTTTTTCTGATGGTTGTGAGCGGGGTCTCCCTCTGCCGGTCGCATCTATTTGATCATGCTGAGAGCGCAGTAGTCATTGCCCCATTTCCAACAGATGTGGGGTTGTCTACGAGAAGCGTTGCCATGAGGTATCGTTGCAGTTGCTATCGACGGTCGGAAATTCTGAGTTACACTGTTTTTCCATACTGGATTGCTGTTGGCCACGAAGCCATCCTGGAAGAGTAGCTATTCAAACGGAGATGTCGCTCAATGCTGCGTTTCATCGGTTGCAGTAGGGGAGGTCGCAATACTGAAGCCGCCGATCGCCCAGAGGTCATATCTTACCCACTTGGATGCCAAAAGTATGCCGCCATTGTTCGAGACCAGAGTGTGCGTGGACCTGGGCCACAGCCCTGCCTCCATCGTGCGACCCCGATAGATACGCAAACAGTTACGGCTAATGAAGCCGCAGTCGTAAATGCCTTGAGAATCAACTTCTTCATATGAAAGGTATCCGCGAGCTCATGGAAGGCTGCAGCATACTCGTGTAACCCAGAATAGGTGGTGGTCATGATGCTCCTCATCGGTCGTCCCCCTCCACGGTGACTCCACGAGCTTTATCAGAATGATATCGAGGAGTGCAACTTCGTCTCAGCAGTATCAGAGATACAGGGAAGATCGATCTATGGATATTTGTACGAGACCTGAAAGTTTTGTTGGAGGTCGGAAGACAGAGGGCGGCAAACAAGTTCTATCTTCATGGATGGCCTCTTATGTCGCACGGGCCATCACGACTGAGAGAGCGCCGTGCAATAGTGCTCTTGCCATGAGAACAAGAAGACGATGCTGAGAGTTTCTGTCAAAGTTCCAGGCTCTCCTAAAGGAGAGAGAAGCACTTGGCCAGACGGCCGTGCCAGAAACGCCATGTACAGTGCAAGGCAGGCTATGAGGCCTGTCCAACACTCTTTATCGACAGGAACAGTAATGTCCCAAGAGGAGCGCACGATCAACTCTGTTATTCAGATACTTGGCCACGTATCCCAGACAGGGCTGCTGTCAGTGTAAGATGTTCTTGTCTGTCAGGTCAGTTACCAGCGATGAAAACGTTGCTCCTATGTGCTCTCCACTGCGACATGACGCGAGAAGCCCATATTTGCGTCTGTTAGAAGTTACAGCGCCGACATACTGGGACCGTTAGTAACCAAGATATAGTGCTCATGTCCCGATGAACATTCGGGCTGAAAAGGCTGAGACTTCCAGGACAGTCTCCAACTCCCATACGCGTGCCATGATTCTGTTGTCTCATGGACACTTAGAACAAGCGCTCATACAGGATTTTGATGATTGGTATGCAGCTACCATCATGGTAGTATATTTTCCGGATCTTTCATCAGTAAAAGAAAGGCATTTCTTCTTGCTACAATAGACATAGAGGTAAAGCATATTTGGCCCGAACTTCATCAAACAGTATCAATTCATAGCAGGTATATGCTGTTAGAGCCGCTCCTTCAACTAACGACAGGGCTGTACTTGATATGAATTCACAAGACGATGTATATGCGGCTCGTTGCAATCACAGCAGCCACACCCATTCTATCATTTTGCTTTTCGAAAAAGCCACCATTGATGCAGGCGCCTGTGACGGCATAGTATTCGACCTGTAGGAAGCCTATATGTAGTTTTAGTAATGAGGTAAGGTCATGCAACTAACGTACACCAAAATTCATAGAAGGATGGCATGGTAGAGGCTCCTATCAGACACACATGAGCTTATGAAGCTACCCGTAGGGATGCCAACCTCCAGAATAACTAAACCCTGCCGCACAAGGCAAACCAATGAATTCAGCACATGAGAGATGTTGTTCTTATACAAAAGTAAGTTAAAGAAACCACAGCAAGGCCGCGTATGATCTTGCATACCGACCCTGTCTTTCTGCAAACGAGACTCCCTCTCTGTATCAGTCCCCTTCTTCTCCAACCGACTTCTATCTGCCTATTTCCTCTGCCCCTTTAACCCCCTGTATAGCCCGTTCTCCTGCCCTTCAGCACCGTATATCTCTTTTCCCATCCCCGTCCCCTCCTATTCTCTTCTGTTGCTGCCTCCTTCTTCCTGAACACCCAGTCTTCTCCTCAAATCTATTTGTCGTTCCTGCATCTTATCCTCCTCAAAGGAATGTCCCGGTCTCTCCTTACATCAACTCCGAAAAGCGTTCAGATCCACACCTTCCACCCTTCAGCAATCCCAGAACAAGGGACTTCGCTAGTATCATAACTACAGGCATTCTTATCCTCTTGCAGGCCCTGAGATTGTTCTTTTGTATGTTGTGATGCGGGGTGGAAAAGAGCCGCTGGGTCCGCGCCGTGTAGGCTTTGGCTGTATGAGGTTGGATGGCGGGTCGAGGGGCGGTAGGATTCGGTTCGAAAGGGGGACGAGAAGAGGGGTAGGGATTTCGTGAGAGCGTAGTAGTAACTGTTAAGAGGACGGAGCGCGGTCGGTCTGGAGGATGAGATACCCATATCTCCCTGCGTTCTTGTCAGCTTTGCATCCTTTCCTGTGTATGTGCGCGCACACACGATTTGAGGTCATACCTTTCT